TTGAAAATACAGCTTTCCTTCCTTCAAGTCCATTAAATTATCTTCTTTAGTGCCCGCTCTGGAAAATGGACCCATGATTTTGTGCAGATGAAAATCTAATTTAATTTTTTGGGTTCTAGAGACTGAGACACTTGTTTTCCTACGTTTGCTTTTTGGGTTTATGTTTAATTGGATTTAGTAGCGTCGAAATACAGTCTGTAAGTGACCATCAGCTTCTAACTTTTTCTGCCATATAATTCTGGGTAGTTACTAGAAAATAGGCTCAGCTCTGTGTTAGGCTGCTAGAGCAGATCTCTATAATCATGCCTCTCCTTCTTTCCTTAGCAAAGCAGTGTTAAGGAGCACCATTTTACTTCCCACACCCACTGTAAGCATTCGTTATGCCAAAGATGTTGTTTCCCACCTACCCCATAGCAAAGAAATGAGAACACATAGAAATGTCACGTAGTGGGGCTCTGGGGGACACCCCAGAGTTTTCCCCTGAAGCACTAGGATGTGGATTAGAGACCTGTAGCATAGGTCTGACCAGAAGTTACACCAAGGAGAAGCAAAATCAGTGAGATAATCTATGTGTCTTCTGTTTTGAACAGCTATTAAGTCATTGCTCAAGCCAAGTCCTTTTTCTGGAAACATCTATCACATCATGGGCAAAGTTAAGTTTTCAGGTAAGGGCACACTCCCACTTATAGAAAAATAAAATTGTTTTGGTTGGAAAAGACCTTTCAGGTCATCAAGTTCAACTGTTCCCCCAGCACTGCCAGGTCACCACCAAACCATGTCCCTCAGCACCATGTTTATACATCTTTTAAGCCCCTCCAGAGATGGAGACTCCACCACTGCCCTGGGTAGCCAGGGACAGGCCTTGACAGGCCTTTTGGTGGAAAAATTGTTCCTAATATCCAACCTAAACCTCCCCTTGTGCAACTTGAGGCCATTTCCTCTAGCCCTATTGCTCTTTCCTTGGGAGAAGAGCCCGACCCCAACGTGGCTCCAGCCTCCTGTCAGTAGTTATGTGTTGTCTTGTGATTGCACTCCATGTCTATGGGTTTGGAAACTTTTTTTTGTGGTCTGTGTTCCGTCTGCACCAATGTATTGATGCCAAATTAGATAAGCAGTTATCAGGAAGTTTCTTTCTTCTGTCTTCTCCTTGTTAGATTCTGATAAAGTGATTGAAGTCTGTCACAACACATCATCCAACTCACTAAGCCTTGTGCCTGTTCAGGAGGGGCCAACTCCTCCTGATCCAAGAAGTGATAACAGAGATTGCAGCAGCCAGCAGGAGTGTTTCCTTGTGTTCATTGGCTGCTCTCTGAAGGAAGAGGATATAAAAGACTGGCTCAGAGAAACTGCAAAACAGGTTTGTGGGCACGTTGACTTCTGTTCAGCATGATCTGTTTGGCATTTCTTAACAACAAAAAGGGGACTCCAAGTGTCTGAGTGAAACATTTATTTTAATATTTAATCTCCTTTCTTTTCTACCTTCTACTGAGTTTACAGTTCCAAGTGTATTGCAGTCAGAGGACTAAGTTTGCAAATATGTATCCTAATTTGTGTATTGTTTTAATATCTGCTGTGTCTTATTCATGAATTGAACTGCTCTTGAGCACTTGAGCAGATGGAGTATGTCCAGAATAAACACAAGATAATTTAGCTGAGACTTGATTGCCAAAAGCTGAAGTGTAGGATGAAATAAATCTCCTTGAAGTACCTGAATGCTGCAGAGCTGAAAACTTGTTTTGATTCACTTCATTAAAGCTCCTTGGAAGTGAGCCACTGAAATGGAACTTACAGGGTTGGGTTTTGTTTCACTTTGACTTGCTCCATTTGACAACTGTGCAGCTATGTCAGACTTGATGTATTTTTGCATGGCCAGTGTAGCTGTGCAGGGAGCAGGGAATGCACACACCATACCAAGCCTGGGAGACACCAGTTGTGGTGTCCTCCTGGCTTCACACCACAGCAGGACCTGGCTGGGTGCAGGACAGGATGGTTCCCTGCTACATAGCCATGGGATACCAGCAGCTATTACTCTTGCCAGGCTGCACATCAAGGTCTTGGGAAGTGAGTCTTGAGGCTTGATTCAGAAATATGCTTGGATGGGAACTGTTCAGCTGTATGAATTGCATATTTTAGTGCCTCTAGTTGGAACCTGAGCCCATAGTTCCAACTGTGCACTACTGTGATGCCCATTCTAGAATCATACAATCATTTAGGTTGGCAAAGACCTTTCAGGTCGTGGAGTCCACCCCTTCCCCCATCCCTGCCAGGTCCCCACTGCCCCGTGTCCCTCACCCCACATCTCCACAGCTTGGAAACCCCTCCAGGGGTGGGGACTCCACCACTGCCCTGGCCAGCCTGGCACAGCCCTGGGCAACCCTCCAGGGCAAGAAATTGTTCCTCAGGGGCAACTGAAACCTCCCCTGGGGCAACTTGAGGCCCTTTCCTCTTGGCCTGTCCCTTGTCCCTTGGGAGCAGAGCCCGACCCCCCCCTGGCTCCAGGCTCCTGTCAGGAGCTGTGCAGAGCCAGAAGGTCTCCCCTGAGCCTCCTTTGCTCCAGGCTCAGCACCCCCAGCTCCCTCAGCTGCTCCTCCCCACACTTGGGCTCTAAACCCCACATTCTGGAGCATTTGTTACTTCAAACTACTCATAGTTACTTCTGTATGGCTTCAGGTTTGCATAATATCTCTAAAAAGTTGTGTAGGAAGGGAGAGGAAGTTTCCTGCAGACCATTGTTGGAGCTGTTTTGAAGGATGTTCAGGTTCTCAGCTCTATTCCACCAGGCAGTGTGACTGCAGGGAAGTACATGTCTTCTGTGAGGATATCTCATGCTCTGTAGATCTGACATGAGTAATGTAAGAAGACAGATGCTTCAGACATGTAAGAAAGCACTCTGCAGAATGTTATTTTAGTTTTATGAAAACTTGGAACTTAAATACTGTCTCAAGTGTGAAGTGCTTCCTCTTTGAGCAGTTCAAGACTACACTCAGCCTTTGTACAGTCTGCCTAGTCATGGCTAATTTAGCATTTCACATAGTTCTGAGAGTGACTGCATGCTGCATGAAAGCAATCCTGAAATTTTTCAGGCTAAAAGCTAGATTATTTGTCTCTTCTTGTGCCAGCTTTCTTCAGTTGTTGTTTTTTTTGTTTTTTTTTTTTTTCAGTAAAGCTGCATTTAAAATGTATTGTTTAAAATGTTTTAAGAATTTCTTGTTCTTTTTGTTTTGTTTTGAACTAAACTGTAGTATCCCATTGTCACTCAGTAGATTCATAACTGGAGTCTGTTTCTTCATACAGAAACCTCAGAGGAAAGCCCTGAAAACCAGAGGAATGCTAACCCTCCAAGAAATCAAAAACATCCATGTAAGCAGAAGCAATTAACAGCAAGCCCTCTTTTGGCTCATTTGCATAAACAGCCATTTGTGTGACAGAGCACCTCCCATACCTGCTGTAACAAGTGTGCTGAGCACTAAATCATGATGGCACTTGCTGTCTTTTGGGAGAACACAACTGAGGCTGTCCTGGAGGGATTTGTGATCTACATCTGGGTGTTACCTCAGCTGGGAAGCAGAGGGAGGTGTAACCCTCACACTCTTGGTCACTGTAATGGTCTTTTCCCATCTTTTCTCCCTGTTCTGTGCTGTGCAGGTTGTCACTTGCACATTAGGATCCCAAATGCCTAATCTTGCCCTCAGCAACTACCTGCAGGTTGTAAGTGCTGTCTCTGGAGCTGGGGTCCTGAGAGTTTGGCGTGGCTGTGATGAGTGTCACCATACCAAACTCCTCCAGTCCATATGGGTGTCACTTGCCAGGCTGTCCTTTCAAAGTGCCCCTGGCCCAGGCTGCCCAGAGAGGTGGTCACTGCCCCATCCCTGCCACCATCCCAGGGGAGGTTGGCCGGGGCTCTGAGCACCCTGCTCTAGCTGGGGATGTCCCTGCTCCCTGCAGGGGGTTGGACTAGATGACCTGGAAAGGTCCCTTCCCACATTCTGTTCAAGTTTGTTAGGACTGTCTCTGAGCAGTTTTGAGTTCTAGATGTTTAACATCCATTGCATTCTTTCCTGGTGCAGGTGAAACGCCACTTGGATCCCCTTCCAGCTGGTTATTTTTACAACGGGACTCAATTTGTGAATTTCTTTGGTGACAAAATGGATTATCATCCATGTATCCTTTCAGATGTGGAGGGGTTTGGTGGAGCTTTCAGGCAGGCAAATCTGAAACACAGACTCTCAAAGCAGCCAGTTTGGTTTGCAGGTAACATCACCAAGTGAAAAGCTGTGTGTCCCTTCAGTCTGTGTGTGGCTACTTGCCATTGAAAGCTTACTGTGAAAACACTTTTTCAGAGATAGGATCTAAAGAAGCAGAATAGAACCAACAAAACAATCCCCAAACTGCACATGAGCTCATGCAGAGAATAATTTATGGACCACAACTTGTCAAAGAAATATTTTTCAAACCAAATGGTGCTGGGCTATTGCTTAATGCCTGCTCAGGACTGATAAAACTTCCAAATGGATATAATTTTATGTGTGCACACACCCAAGGAAAAACAAAGGTGGGTTTAGGTTTTACTACAGCATCCTTTTTTTCTGCCATGTGTTTTGCTTCATTCTCCAGCAGCAGAGAGTAGCACGTTGACTTTCTGCTTTCACAGGTGTCTCTGAACTGGCACAGCCTTCAAACCTGTGCATTCTTTTCTACTGAATGCTGCTTGCACAAACCTTTTTCCTTAACTTTTCAAAATCAGTGATGGACCAATTCATGAACGATTACTTGGAGGAAGCCAACAGGGAAATAGAGAAGTACAACAGAGAACTAGAAGAACAAGAGTATCATGATCTCTTTGAGCAGAAGACATAAGCACGTGCACTCGGTGCATTTCTGTACCACCTACTGTCAGTAACCAAAAAAATGCTGTTGTCCTTGCTGGTTAACTAGAAAATTAAGTGAAATGTCAGTTTTCAGCACTCCTTTTAAAACTAAGAGATCATTCCTGTAAGGTTGGCATTTTAATATGGTAACTGCTTAGCTGTTTGTTCTGTCAGGTTTGCTTCCACTTCACCTTAATTCCAGACTGTAAAAAGCATCCCCTGGAATCTCTGGCTAGTAGTGGAAACTTATTTAAAAGAAGAAGAAGAAGAAAAGAAGCAAAAGTGTATTTCCTAGTAGGTCAGAATGTAATCATGGAATTGGTCTGTCGTGCAGATGATCAAACCACTTGAATCTCTGGGTGTCCCTTGGAACCTGTTGCTCAGGAGTGTTGATGGGCAGTGGGACTCGGGGGGAGTTCCCAAAGCGAGAAATGGGGGAACATTTAAAACACTCTGAGGAGCACCTAGTCCCACGGCCCAAAGTGAGAGATGGGGGAACACCTCAAAAACTCTGAAGAGTCCCTAATCCTTCTGCTCTTAGGGTGTTCCCAAAGCAAGAAATGGGGCAACACTTCAACAACTCTGAAGAGTCCCTAATCCTACAGCTGTTGGGGTGTTCCCAAAGCGAGAAATTGGGGAACAACTCCAAAGAGTCCCTAATCCCACAGCTGTTAGGCTGTTCCCAAAGTGAGAAATTGGGGAACAACTCCAAAATTCTGAAGAGTCCCTAATCCCACAGCTGTTAGGCTGTTCCCAAAGCGAGAAATTGGGGAACAACTCAAAAACCTCAGAGTCCCTAATCCTACTGCTGTTGGGGCGTTCCCAAAGCGAGAAATGGGGGAGCAATTAAAAAACTCTGAGGAGTGCCTAATCCCACAGCTGTTAGAGAGTTCCCAAAGTGAGAAACTGGGGGGATAACTCCAAAGTGCAGAAGAGTGCCTAATCCCACAGCTGTTAGGCTGTTCCCAAAACGAGAAATGGGGGAACAACTCAAAGACTCAAGGAGTACCTAATCCTACTGCTGGTGGGGCGTTCCCAAAGCGAGAAGTGGGGGAACACTTGGGCATCTGTGTTTTTCTGAGGGGACAGAGTGTCTCATAACCTCTGCACAGTTTGAATCTGCAGTCGAAATTTTGCCTTTTCTAAAGAAAAGCTGTTCATGCATTTCAGGGTGGAATGAGACAAGTGGAAGTCTCTTGCTTTCCTCCCAGTGTTGTTATTGGTGTTGTGGAAAATGTGACAAGAATGGTGGTAATCTGCAACTTGCTGTTGCTTAGAAGATTATTTCTGAAGGATTCTTACTTCAGGACTCAAAACTAAGCAAAGCAAGTGAAGAGGGAGATTCTTTAGCTAAAGGATTCCTTTTCATGCAAATGACTTCTTTCCAAAGGTAAAAAATGTCAAAAGTTATACTTGAAATACAAAAAAAACCTTGTTTGTGAAGCATGAGGAAGAATTTGCACACTGTAATATTTCACTAAACTGATATATCAGGTTTTAAGTACTTGCAGTAAAAACCTTTGTAGTTCCTAAATGATATCATAAGAGGAATTCTGGCAACTTGTCCTTTAACTTAATTTAGTCCAATTTTAAGTGAGACTTTGTAGATCACTGCCTGAAGGATTATAAGGTGCCCGAGCAGCTACTTAAAGGTAATTATTGAAGCTTAATTTGAATAAGGAGATTAATGTAGCATGCTGCATGATGAGAATTTAGGCAAGTGAAAACAGTCCAGGAGGAATTTTTTATTGTCATATTCCTTTGCTTTAGGAACAGCTCAATCCTTTAATAAAACTTTTCTCCTTGCTCAGTGACTGTAATGCACTAGGAAATGGATAATTTCTCACTTAAAATGCTTAAAACATTTCCACGCAGTCTTTTTGTGGCAAGAAAATGAGATTTAACTCCTGCCCTCAAACCTAAGGTTAGATACTGTCTCATGCCTTACTTGAGGAAGATATTTTTTACCTTTGGAATATGAAATGGCTGAAATTTCAATAAGCCTGTCCAAAACTGAAACACTTTAGGCAGAATTTCAGTCCACGTTGCTACTAGCTGGCTCTCTGCCTGCGCTGGGGGAGTTCCAGGTGCTGCAGGGTGGGATATAGGTGTCGATAAGGTTTCGTTTCTAGCTTTCCTAACTAGATTTAAGAAGCTGTCTGAACTTAAGAATTTATTCTTTTCATTTTTTTGCACACCACGAGACTTTATAAACGACTTGTATCCTGTTAATGTGCAGTAAAAGCCAGCGGTTAGTTTGTGTTTCTAGGCTTTTTGGGGTGACCCCTGTTACAGGGATAGAGCACCCTGATAAGGCTTGTGAGTTTATCTATGCATGGCTATATTTTAGTCTTAATATCCTGTAGTGCCTGGTAGAGTAAACGTAGCTAGCAGTGGATCTGGGGGGCTAGCAGGTGTTTACAAACTAAGTACAGTTGGTTGCATGAAGCTCTTTCATCAGACCAGGGTTATTAGAATACAAACGTCTGGTCCTGCCACTGCAATAAAAAGGGGCATTAGTCAATTCTTCCCAAATCACAGCTCTTTGCCAATCAACTTGGTGTAAACCCAGCGTGCCCCTTTTCGAGCGAATCCAATCTGCAAAGCCATATTTCTAGAGTAGTGGTAGGACTGTGTCACGTCAGAGGAAACCCCCGTGGCTGGGGCATCATCCAGGTGTCCGTCGGTAACCGAGTAGGTTTAAGTGCAATTGATGGATAGATGAAGAAGCTGTAGCTTATTTTGCTCCACTGAACTCTTTTTAAGAACTCCAATTTGTGCAGCTCTCGAAAACGAGCGTCGACGAGGCTCCTTCCTCTGGGGAGCAGGACAATTGGGATGCCCTGGGAACAAGAAGAGAAGTGTTTCAAAGAAATTGAAAATGCTGCTGTGCAAATTGAGCTGTTCCTTAAAAACTGAGGCAGGAGAGCTCAGAACAAAGGCCTAGGACCCTTCCATACTCTACTGCATGCTCTATGGTCATAGCTGTGTATTATGAAGACCTTTCACCATACTGGTACTATTTCAATTAATCTATTTTGGTATTGAAGTAAATCGATTACCTCAATTATTTTATTTTTTTTTTAAAGCTTTTAACTGTGACTTTGAAACAAGAAAAAAAAAGAAAAAATACCGAAATAGTTGAAACTGTGACAATGGTATCCTTTAAAAATAGTAGTGCCTTGCAGATGACACCATTTATTCACCCAGCAGGAAATAAATGGCTGTCAGGGGTTGTATTGCTTGCACCCTTTATTTTTTTCTTTTTAAAGGAAAAACAGTTTTGGTGAAAGGACTTAAAAATAAACCTAGTGAAGAATATTAGCACAACGGTTAAACTGTTTAAAAACTCTTTGAGGACTAAAACGTGTAAATGCCTGATGCTGCTGATGAGTTTGATAGCAGTTGCTGATGATTTTTGGAGTCGCTTCTAACAATCAGCAGCACTTTTGTTTTTTTTTTTAAGGATTGTGTAACTTTTGTACTCTGGTCGGAGATGTTTATACTGTGTCAAACCCCTTCCCAAGGTGATCTGCTTTCCTCGCTAAGGACGCAGACACTTGGGGGAAGGATCTAGTTGGGAAAATTTTTGTAGCTACTGTAAAACGAAGGAGAATAAAAACCACACCGTTTCTAAACCACAAAAAGTTTGGATCCAGAAAAAGTGCCATTAAGCCGTTCCTTTGTCTCTTGCTGTCTTTTGGAAATTGGTGACAGTAACTTCGTGTTCAGGCGTTTCTTCAAAGGCTGAAGAAGCGCTCAAGAGTCCTCAAGGGGTTTCCACGCTTTGCTGACCTCCACGTTAGCAGCTTGTGGTGGTGGGTTTTTTTTTGTTTGTTTCGTTGGGTTTTTTTTGTCTCTCTGAGAATGAGTGTGATCAGAAGTTACTGAAGTTATAGGGAGAATAATGTGATTAAACTTAGGAGAGGAACGTTTGCAACTTGAACCGCGCCGCGGCCACCGAGTCTTTTATCTTCAGCCGTGCAATTTGGTGTTAGCCCAATTTTACACTTAGCAATTAACAAACCTGGCTGCAGGAAGGGTTTAAGTTGCACCTAAGAGTTCCCTAATAAGTTTGCTTTTATTATTATTATTATTACGTTTTAATTGAAGCTTCTCTGAATTTGCACAGATTTAAGCTCCGGAATACTTCGGGATTCTTTAAAAGGGAAAAAAATTGTGACTAGTAGAGTGAATTGTAAACTGTGAGTTGTTAGAACTGCATTGTTGATCTAATTTTAGATTGTTTAAAAACGTACCTCAGAAAGCTAGTGAGAAATTGCTTCATTTTTACACAAGAGTCAGAGGCTGGTGTAACACTTCTCACTTTACAACGTGCCAAAATTCACTTCGATGCTAGTTCTCAATGCTTTAATATTTGCAACTTTAAGTTAAAATTGTCTATTTACAAACACTACTGTAACTTCAGTTCAACTGAATTGTGTGGTTGAAGCTTTTTGCCTACCCTATTTATTACACGACTCGATTCAGTAAATATAAAATGCCCTTTCCATTTATTTTTGTATTGTTTTACATGTTTATACCTGCAGTTTGTGTGACTTTTACACCTGTAACTCAAACGTGATGGAAAGAACCAATAAACAGTATCCATCTGCTCCCTGCCTTTTGTCTTCTTTAATACCTTATTTCCTCAATTTGGAGTTCTTAACCTTTGAACCGTTTTCTTTTCAAAGGTATTAATTTCCCAAAGTGGCAGATTCAAACCAGGATGTAAAGATTTAAGGATTTAAGTGGTTTTTTTTTAATAAGCTGCTGTTTTAAATTTTGACCTTGCTTGGGCTTCTAATTGGGTAAAATTTAAACTGTGTTTTAGGATGAAGGGTATTAACTGTCTGTCTTTGAACAACTGGACCCAAGTGTAAGCTGATGGTTGCACAGTCATGAGGGCAGGAGCTAAATCCTGCTCCTGGTACTCATACAACTGAGGAGGTGCTTTCAAGAGGAGCTTCTGCTGAGCTAAAATCAAGCTGCTGTTGCAAGGCCAATCCCTCCTTACCCTCCTTTTTCTGCTTGGGTCACCCAGTGAGTCTCCAAACCCTCCTGGCTGTGACCCTGGGCACCCTGCTGGGGGTGAGCTGCTGGAGCAGGGGGTGGGATGAGATGATCTCCAGAGGTCCCCTCCAACCCCACCATGCTGGGGTTCTGTGGGTGAATCAAATCATTTTGATTAAACTCAACCTGCAAATGCTTTCTCTCTCTTTGACAATGCTTTTGACTCTTTTTT